TTAAGTTCTAGAGTAATATCTTAGAGCCTATATAAACTATAAGTAAGATAACTAAGTAACTCTACTAGCTAACGCTAAGTTTACGTATAATAACTTTAAATATAACTTAACTAGTGTTACTCTATTTAAGCTAGTGTATAGCTATATAATTCTATTTATACTAGAGTTAACTAGCCTAGATCTAACTAGACTATCTAAGCGCGCGCTCTAAAACTAGAAACTATATAAAAAAGTGCGTAAAATAGTATAATAGAATCTAGTAAGAGTTTAAGAGTACTAATAGAAGACGTATAATAAAAGCTATAAGCCTAAGAAGTTTAAAGTTAGTAATTAGATTATACTAGATATATATAATATCTATATAACTAGGCCTAAAAAAAAACTAGACTATAAGTACTAGAGCCTACTTAAAGTAATAGAATAAATTAGTAAGTAAGTTTACTAACTAGACTTTTTAGAAGATAGTAGAATCTACCTAGTCTTTTATATTAGCCTACTAGAAAACGCTTCTAATACTAGTCTAGTCTAAAAAGACTAAGATCTACTCTATTATATTACTTTATAAGTAGATAATAACGTGTATAAAGTAGATAAAATACTTAAGAAGTAAAGAGTAAAAAACTCTTAGATATACTTAGTTAAGTAAATAAACTACTTAGACTCTAATAATTAATAGCTACTTTTAGAGAAGATCTTTCTTAGCGCTATAAAGGCGTTTAAAAAGTTCTAAGAGTACTCTAACTAGAGATAACTACGCTAGAGTAGATTTAGAAAAAGCTAGATAGGTCTAGATTAGCCTAGTCTAATATTCTAATAAAGTAGGCTAGAGAATATATTAGATTAAATAAATTAATAAATTTTCTAAGTATAATAGACTCTAAAATTACTTAAATCTTAATTATAAGTATAAAGAAATTAATAATTATATTTCTAGAGCTAAAGCTAATCTATACTAATCTAAACCTATCTAGATTAGATAGTAACTAATTACTATATAAAAAATAATAATAGGTAGATTAGAACTAGAAAGAACTTTAAAGAGCCTAACCTAGACTAATCTACACTAGAGTATTTTAGACGCTAAACTCTATAACTAGAAAATACTAACTAGAATAAAACTACCTAAATTAACTTAGAGATAGCTCTAGATAGATCTAGACTACGCTAGGTTAACCTAGAGTAGAGTAGAATAATTAGCCTAGAAGCTATCTCTAGTAGCCTTAAATAGCTTACTTTTAATTAAGAATAGTAAGTTAATAAAACTCTTAACTTTAGTCTTTAGAGCTAGAACTTTCTTCTTAAAAGAATTTATATTCTTTTTCTTCTAGACTAAGTTAGATAGATCTAGATTAGAATAAGAGAGAGTATACTTACGCGCTTACTAGAAGTTTTAGAAGCTTTATTAGTATTACTATAAAACTTAGCCTTTTAGATAACTCTAAGAACCTTAGTATTAAACTAGATATACTTACTAGAGTATAAAGGCGTATTCTTATTATTAATGTATTAGATAGTATTTCTATCTAGATTAGTATAGATTAGTATAGATAACTCTAGATTACTTATATAGTAAAAGTAGTAGCTTAGGCCTTAATATTCTACTTTAGAGATAACTTATCTATAGTAGAAGTGTTTAAGATATTATAGACTAAAGCGTTTAAAAGCGCCTAAAAGTATATTTTATAAATCTTTGCCTATATTATAATAATACTAAGAATAGTGTACTTAGGTAGCTAGATTAGTTTAGATTAGCTTAGATTATACTAGAATAGTATTACTTACTTAAAAATAATCTTAACTAGATAAGTTATAGAGAATATAGTAAAAAAGAGTTAGAGTCTTCTTCTTACTAATAGTATAAGACGCTATTATAGTAGTTTTACTTTATAAAGTCTAAGTTAGTATAGATTAGTATAGATAGCTCTAGAAAGAAGCACTAATTTATATCTTATAGTTCTTATCTAGTAAATAGTAGTAGAGCACTAGATTAGTCTACTAGTTATTCTTAATAGTAGTATATAAAATATTACTATAGCGTATATAACTATTTAGGTTATATCTAGCCTTAGTAGTTATATTTCTTAGTTACTAGGCTCTAAGCGTCTATATTGTAACTAGATTAGTATAAATAGAACTAGATTAGAATTAAAAATAGCTAGTTATTACTAGAATACTCTAAGTAGTAGAAGATAGAGATAGATAGTGTAAGATTACGCTAGATTATAGTTAATAGTGTTAGTTAATAGGCTTCTATACTTATTAGTAAAAGAAAAGAAAAGGTAAGGCTAAACTACGCTAGGCTAGCCTAGATCTACTCTAATCTAGAATAGTCTAGACTAATTCTAATATATAGAGATTTTAGAAATACTTACTAAATAATAGGTAGAAGTAAGAAGTCTAGGTAGATAGCCTAAAAAGAGATTCTCTAATATTAACGTATAAACTATATTTTAGCCTAAGCTTAGCGCTTATATAATTTTCTAAATTTTTTTAATTCTCTATCTTATATAGAATATACTTCTAGAAAAAAGAAAAACTTTATTATAACTACTTAGTTATAAACTACTCTAGATTTCTCTAGACCTCTTTAAACTACGCTAGCCTATATAAGCGCAGGCTCTACTAGTATAGAAACTTAGAGAAACCTCTTATAAGTAATAGCTTTACTTAGATTACTTAGTAGAGGTTTACGTTTATATAATTCTATATTAACCTATTCTACTTTTATAGTTATTACTATAGTATTAATTAGATTTAACTTAGTTAAATTATTATAAGTGTATATTAGGCTACCTAGAGAAATAAGAAGAGTAGATAGTTAAGATAATAGAAAACTAGATAGGTAGTTTTTTATATATCTACCTAAGCGCTAGCTAGTATATAAACTTATAACTTCTATAACTTTATATCTATAGAATAAAAATTTATCTAAAACTAAACTCTTTATAGATATAAATATCTATAGCTTTAAACCTAAATAAAAAGATAATATATTATCTCTATAACTAAGAAACTATCTAAAACTAACTATACTTAGTTAGACTTAACTAAGTTAAATCTTACTAGTATAATACTTCTATTTCTTCTTATTCTTCTTCTTATTCTTCTTTTTATTCTTACACTTCTTATTATTCTAGTTTACCTTCTTAGCCTTTTTCTTATTATTACTACTTTTTTATTAGTTTAGACTCTACTAAGTATTATTACGTTAATATATATAGAGTAATTATTATATTCTTATAAGTAGCTAAAGATGCTTTAGTAAACTTAATAGAAATATAATAATATAGCTTATTATTCTAAAGAATAGCTAGATAAGCTATAAGAGTTAGCTAAGTCTAATCTTAGTGTATACTTAACCTACTATAATTATTAGCCTTATAGTAAGACTAGTAAAACTAGTAACTCTTTTTTAGGCTAGTCTAGATATAAGCTTTACTAGCTAAGACTTTCTATATTATATTAGAATAGGTATAGACTAAGTTAATTCTATTTATACTTATACTATTCTTATACGTAGAGAGCTCTAGTAATCTCTCTATAATATATACTATCTACTTATTTACTTCTTAGGCTTATAGAGATTAGTTATAATTAAACTAAGATAGATTTTTTATATACTTCTTAAGTAGCTAGCTACTTAGCTAGCTACTTATTATAGAAAAATAGTAGAGGTAGAGCGTTACTAAAGCTAGGCTTTTCTAGAGTTTTATAGTTAGGTAGTTAAGACTTAGTTTAGTCTAACTTATACTAGACCTTAACTATATTCTTAGCTTTAATATATTTCTTTATAGCTTTTATATAGTTAAGTATATTCTAGAAGTAATCTATCTAAGTTAGCTATAATTAATCTAAGTTATATTCTTAGTATTTATACTATTAATTATCTTATAGTAGCTTTTATCTATCTATCTTTTTACCTAATCTATAAAGAAATATTTAGCGTAATAATACTATTATATATTAGTAGGCTTAGATAGAACTAAGTATAATCTAACTTACTACTTTACTATAAGTCTATTTAAGATACTTTATAAGTATACTAGTATTATCTATAGTAAACTATATTATATTAGTTAAGAGTTAACTAAGTATATATAGAACTTCTTACTTTACCTAACTTATATCTATATAGTAGTTTTTTAGTTCTAAAGTTAATATTAGCTAAGTAGTAAATTATTTCTTAGACTATAGTAACTATCTTAGTTTTATTATTCTAGAGAGTATTAACTAAAATATATCTTAAAAAATATAAGTATAGCGTATAGCTTAGAAGTAGAGTAGACTAGCTAAATATAGTAGAAGTACTTAGTAGATCTTAATAAATTTCTATACTACTATTAGTTCTAGACGTAACTAAGTACTATCTAGATAAACTTAGTCTTTAAGTTTCTCTATTCTATATACACTTTCTATTATTACTTTATATTTCTATTTAGCTAAATCTAACTAAATTAGATCTAGAGTTAGCTACTCTATATTATAATTAGAATTTAAATTATTAAATTTTAATATTATTAAGTATTTTAAAACATTGCTAAGAAAGATCTTAATAGTAGTATATACGCTACTAGCACTACTTAAAAGTATAGTATAGTAGTAGGTAGTAGTAAAAGAGTATAGTTACTAAGTATATAGGCTTTAATTAGTAGCTTAAATTACTAGTGCGCTAGTAGCTATACGCTAATTTAAGTAAAGGTTAAGTTACTTTTACGTAATAAATTAAAGGTTAGCTAAGTTAAATCTAGAGGTTAGCTGAACTAATCTCTGCTATTAGGATTACACGTTGGCAACTCTGGCGCATTTCAGGATACGAGTTTGATCGGCGCCGGCTTATGCCCGCCGTGCGTTGTCGAGGTCAAATTCTAAGCTCTATCGGTTTGAAATTGCGCCATGCATGCCAACCTCGCAGATCGTCTAATAAACAATGGCGAGAGCTACAGCAGTCTGAGAACGGAAATTCTCGGAGCGACCGCCAAGCTACCTACTCATGAGACAATCTAATTCCATGAAATGCTACGGGAGTCAGCATTGAACCACAACAAGGGATGGCGAAACTTACTACAACATGATACCGGCGCCAGTGAACATGGCGGCGAATTGCATCAGAGTCTTCCTGAGCTCTTGGCCTTTGTTCGGACCGGTCTCGAGGAGCTCAGGAATAACAGCAACAGTGCCGACATAGAGGAAAGTACCAGCAGTAAATGGTAGTAGCATGTCACCCCACTGCAGACTAGTGCCCATAATGCCAGGACCTTGGATGTCAGCAGAGGCGGAGCTGCCTCCAAATTCTTGGACAGCAATGCCAATGCAAGTTCCTAAGAAAGCGCCGACGGCGGTAACGAATTGAGCCCCCATAGCGGCTCGCTTGCTGAAGCCAGACTGTATGAGGAGAGCGAAGTCGCCGACCTCGTGGGGGATCTCATGGAAGAAGACAGCCACAGTCGTAGTAGCACCAATCGTAGGCGAGGCGTAGAATGAGGAGCTGAGGGCCAGACCGTCGGTGATGTTGTGGGTGAAGTCTGCAATGAGGTTGAGGTAACCACCAAGCTTGACACTGGCGTTGATCTCTTTCTCTGCTGTCTCTACGACAGACGATGTGCCGTTTGTGCCAGATTTCCTGGAGCGCACACCATCTTTGGAGCTGCCGACGTCGACGCCTGTTGTCTTCGCGGAAGCCTCAACTTTGTCGTGCGAGTGCCCATGCGAGTGGTCGTGTCCGCCCTGGCCTCCCGTCGCAATTCGAAGTCCCTTGTCCATGGCCACGAAGGTGATGAAGCCGACCATGATAGCTACGCCCAGCAACAGGTTCTTGTTGGGTTCGACCATGACGAACTTGACCGAGTCGTGCTCTTCCTCGCCCAAGAAGATCTCAGGGAGCAGGTGGAAGAGGGTATCACCCAGAAGTCCGCCTACAGCGAATGCGACCATGACGGAGAGCGAGGAGGGGTCTATGTTGGGCGGACATAGTGCGAGGAGGAAGTTTGGCGGGCCCGAGATGTAGAGCGTCGCTAGCAGGGCATTGACTGCAGGGCTGCCAGGGAACAGGAAGGCGAAGATCTGGGAGGTGAGGGAGGACGTGGTCGGGTTCGAGGCTGCCTTGTGCTGGTTGAGAGCTTGCACAAGGGGACACTCCTAGCTGGTGTCAGTACCGCCATGAGCACGCGACATCAGGGTATCTCGGACGATGTCCAATATCAAAGGAACGCGCTATCCTCTATACGATCGAGGTGATGGTGGAAGAGGTTTAGTGAGGCTGGCGAGTGGAAGGCGTACCTGCAATTGCTCTTCAATTTCATGGGCGCTCAGGTTGCCTACTGGCACGCCGGTCTCGCCCTTGACGGCTGCAGCTGCCACGTTCCATCCCAGCACCCCGAGGAAGATTGCCAAGGACAGCAAGGTCCGGTTGCGCCGCGAGACCATGATGACGCGTGAATTGGTTGGATGCAATATACAGACCCTGATATTGGGTCGTGGGGTTGATGCTTCAGGGGTCTGTCCTCATGGAAGCCTGCTCGTGGGTACCTAGCCCGCCCGCTATCGATAACGCTAACGGAAAGTTCGCCAAAACTTTTGGAAGTTGCGACCGGCGCCTCTGCAACACCAGAGACAATACACTGATACCCTCGCAATCCTCCAGAACAACACAAAATGGGTCGCGAACTCCAGAAGAAGAAGAACCGGTCGTCCATCCCCAAGAAGCGCAAGAATGGACCCTCCAAGAAGAAGATTCTGCAGAATCCCATCATAGCGAAGCACTGGTACGACACATTGCGCCTGCCTCTGCGTTACCGATCGGACTGACACAATCGCAGGAACCAAAAAGAGACATTATCGCAAAATTACCGCCGTCTCGGTCTAACGGCGCGCCTCAACCACGCAACCGGTGGCACAGAGAAGACGATCGCCCTCCTCGGCCTCAACGATGAGAAATCTTCGCGCGCCGACACCGTCGCCAACAGCACAGCAGACGCCCTCAACATCGTTTCAAAAGCCAAGAAGCCCGAGAATATCGCAATCGAGGAGATCGAAGTCGAGCGCGACCCCGAGACAGGCGCTATTCTCAACGTAACAGGCACACTCGACAAGAAGGACAACCCGCTGAACGACCCTCTCAACGAGATCGAAGATGACAATGAGGAGATGGAGTGGAACGGCTTCTCCATGGTACCAGAGCGACCTGAAGAGGCCGAGAACCCAGTCATCCGGGAACTCGAAGAGGCTGCTATGAACGGCGCGAGGAAGGCACCCCGCGGACAAAGCCAAAGGGAGCAGGAGTGGGTGGAGCGATTAGTAAACAAGTACGGGGAGGACTACGGAAAGATGGCGAGAGACCGCAAGCTCAACCCCATGCAGCAGACCGCTGCGGACATCAAGAAGAGGGTCGCCAAGTGGCAGAAGGCGCAGAACAAGGCATAGGGTTGCGACTTAGGTATGCATAGCAGGTGTTGTGGCGTTTCTGGGCACATTTGTCGCACTCAAAATTCGAATACCAAACATCAGTCTCGGCTTTGATCGGACTACGAAGGACCGTACTGCCCATCGTTCAAGGCGTTTTGTGTTGGACAGGTGATGGCTCGTGCTCATCTCTCAGCGGTTACTACCTAGGTAGACCCCGAACTGCACCTACCCCACGAGTTCTGAACTTGCACATTCATCCATGGATGCAGCAACCACCACACGCACATAGCGGACATTCTCATATTGGGTAGACTGACTGCGATAGCGTCTAGGCATGTGTCGGACGAAGCGAACGATATGCGCAACAGACTAGTACACTCAGCGGGCAAAAGAGACCGAGAGGCATCCTCTTCCACTCCATCCGGAAGTCACCGTCAGCTCAATCGCGTAGACTAGATGAGAAAATCTATCTCAAGAGAAATTCGACGAGAAACCTCCCGCACAGCTGAGAGACGGTTCCTTTTCCAGATTTCATCGGAGAGGACCGTCTCATTGACCACCCGCGTACCCACTGACCAACAAATAACCCAAGTCATCCCTCCCCACACCCCAGAAAGCGCTGCCCACAGATGTTACGTGAGCCCGAGGTACTCACAACTGATAAGTCTCCAGTATGGCCCTTTGCCACCCGCCGCGGAACCCAGCGGAATACCAGGATGTCTCTCACTAAGCGTTTCTGGAACAGCAGAATGCTTCCAGAAGTAAGCTCAGCAGCACTCATGCTTGTTTCCAACGAGCAATGACGTCGAACGCCATGACTCAGGGGCATTTCGGATGGTCAGATTGCGCAATCAACGAAGTTGAGCGTCTTTCACGCAGAGCTCTCGCTTAACACTACCTCATGCTCAGGTGCTTAAGTACTACTTGTATGTACTAGCGAAGAAACATCAATCATTTACGACGTATTATTGGTTACTTTGGAAGTGTTGCTGGCTTCAGATTCAAACCCACCAAACCGTCGTCAGTCTCGTGATACATCCTCGACCGAACCGCGAGGATTACTCTCATCCGCCCTGATCCGCCCCACACTTCTCCCCAAGATTTTTCGATCTTTGGTCAGTCTCTGCATGACCTCGTGCCCATGGGGCAAATGGGGGTCTGTCAGCATGGAAGCTCCAGGTTCCGTTGCCGAAGATGAGTCGGGTTTATAAGAGAGGTTGTGTTACCTCAGAATGCTTACCATCTCAGCATTTCTGCCTCATTCTGTCAATGAAAACGCATCTCAACGATGGACAAGATCAAGATGAAGCTACCGAACCCTATAAGAGACTGGCAACGCAGAAGCTCCGTTGAGCAGACATCGCAAAACGTCGACGAACATGCTGGCTACGATAATACCCCACTTCCGAGGTTGACATGGAAGAGTTTCTGGATGGGTATGTTGGTGTCAATGGGAGGATTTGTCTTCGGGTGAGCAGTGCCCAGCACAACTACCTTCGCTCCAGCTGAATGTCTTAGCTATGACACTGGTCAGATCTCTGGGTTCCTTGGTATGGTCGACTTCCTTCGACGCTTCGGTCAGAGGCATGCAGATGGCACGCCATACTTCTCCAACGTACGATCTGGACTCATCGTGGGTCTATTGTCTATTGGTACATTGTTTGGTGCTTTGATTGCGGCACCAATCGCAGACAGGATTGGGCGGAAGATGAGCATCATATGGTGGTGTGGTATCTTCTCTGTGGGCATCATCGTCCAGATTGCTGCCACAGATGAGTGGTATCAGGTCATGATGGGCAGGTTCGTTGCCGGTCTCGGTGTTGGTGCACTCAGCCTACTCGTACCCATGTACCAAGTACGATCCCCACATGAACAGCAAATGTCCATCACTGACAGACACAGGCGGAGACAGCACCTCGACATATCCGCGGAGCCTTGATTTCCACCTACCAACTCTTCATCACATTCGGAATCTTCCTGGCCGCAGTCTTCAATTACGCTGCGGAACGCCACCAATCCGGTAAAGCCGCATCCTGGCAGATCACCCTCGGGCTCTCCTTCGTACCTGCAGCTATTCTCGCGGTAGGTATTCTGGGCTTCTCCGAAACACCTCGGTTCAACTACCGTCATGGTAAGATCGACCAGGCCACCGCAACCATGTCGAAAGTATATGGGGTACCAACCAACCATCAGAGCATTCAGCTAGAGCTTGAGGAGATGAGGGTCAAGCTCGAAGCCGAAAGCAAGCTTACCAACGGACCCATACAAGAATGGTTGGGTATGTGGATGGCGCCGAAGATGGCATACAGGTTGGCAATTGGCATGGGCTTGCAGATGTTTCAACAGTTGACAGGGGCCAACTACTTGTAAGCAACTAATCGCCCCCAGTGAGCACATTCTGACATCCCAAAGTTTCTACTACGGTACCGTAGTCTTTGCCGGCACTGGTATCAAGAACTCGTTCGTTACGCAGATGATCTTGGTAAGCATTTTCTTCCGTAAGGCGACCCATAACAGTGTTGACCTTTTGTAGAACGGTATCAACTTCGGCGTCACCTTCTACGGTCTTTACATCGTCGAGCACTACGGTCGTCGCAAGTCGCTCATTGCCGGCTCATGCTGGATGTTCATCTGCTTCCTCATCTTCGCTTCTGTCGGTCACTTCGCCCTTGATCGCGACAACCCGGAAAATACCGAAAGCGCAGCCACAGCGATGATATGCTTTGCTTGTTTCTTCATCTTCGGGTTTGCGACAACGTGGGGTCCGATGATGTGAGTTTCGCGCCGATTCCCAGAATGCTACGTCAAACTGACATCTTCTAGCTGGACAATCTGCGGAGAGTTATACCCCAGCCGCTATCGCGCGAAAGCCATGGCTCTATCAACGGCATCGAACTGGCTGTGGAACTTCCTTCTCGCATTCTTCACGCCCTTCATCACTGGTGCCATAGATTTCCGCTATGGCTACGTCTTCGCCGGGACAAACATCCTAGGTGGCCTTATCGTATATTTCTTCGTCATCGAAGGCAAAGGGCGCACACTCGAGGAAATCGATACGATGTACCTGATGGGCGTCAAGCCATGGGAAAGCGCAAAATGGGTCGTTCCCAGCCTGGAAGAGATGAGCGGAGATATGAGGGTTAAGCTCGAGTCCGCAAACCCGGAGTTGGCGCTCAGGAAAGAGACTAACGGAGGGACGGCTGATGACAATGCTAGTGTGAGGCACGAAGAGGATAGCGAGGCGATTCGCGGGAGTGAGGCTATATGGGACGGGAGTGAAGAGGGGTTGAGGGAGAAATCCGAGGTCGAGCCGTAGTGAGCGTGTTGCAGATGCGGTGGTCGCTTGGTTGGTCTGGGTGAAGCAGGTCAATCCGTTATTGTTGGTAACTCCCGCTCATACTGCAATGCTCGTAATTTTATCTATCGTCTGCTGATGTGAAGGGTTTTGCGCCGCGGCATGCACCCGTTGAGATCGTTCTCGTAGAGCTAGACGCTCTCTGTAAGTCGCGCCACGTGCACGCGTCGGGATTTGCAGCAGGCTTCATCCCAGCCTCCTCAACATTCATCCCGCGAACGTCAGTGCAACTCCATTTTGACTTACACAATTCTCACCTCTGTGCTGGCAGCATCCGCAAAGGAAGGTGTCATCGGAAAGAGACCTGATTCGTATCCAGTCAGCCTTGTGCGGCGTTGCACCGCGCTGAGTTCGCGACGGAACCCGATTTGGCGCTGACAGCTGCAGTGTAAACGACGTAGCAGTGCCGAAAAGTTTATGAGGTGAGCGCATCGGCGTGACCGACCGCCAGCGTCGACTTATTCAGGCCACCCCAAGCAAAAATTTGTTCGCTGTTCAGCATTGACGTAACACGGGAACTCCAAGACACCACAATTCCACGCCAAGAAGCATCCAACGCCTGGAACGGATCAGATTAGATCTGCCTTATCGCTAGCTACAGGCTATTAAACCCAAGCATGTGGTCCTCGGGCAAGCCATGGTGTCATTGCACAGACCCGCGGACTTCCCCGTGGTACTGTCGCGTGGGTGTGTGCCTCTCGCCATGCCACCACTGCACTTGGCGAGGAATAAGTGTGCCAATAGCACGACACGGCAGCCCAGCCGCCTGCGCGCATCAGCAATGTTGCGACGCAGGGCCGATCAGATAAAGTAGTTCCCTCCGCCGTGCCGTTATCTAGGATGCATCTCGCATACTGCGACTTCGACATCCTCCTGCAGAATTGGACGCGATCATGCGCCATTCATTAAGGCCTGGAGAGGCGACAAGCCCGACCGATGTTGTTCACAACGAGACTGATCGCGGCAACTTCGGCAAGGATATCGACTACAACCGCGAGCGCTCGCCGAGCGATGATACTTCGAGCGAGCACTCAGCTCAGGCTGGTGTGAAGCGCATTGAAGCTGTGAGCAGGGCGTGGACGAAGACTTCGCTCATCGTCGCCTACGTCACGTACGTCATCAGGATCGCTTTCAATTAGAAAGGTTTCTCTATACTAAATCCAATGCAGACTTCTACTTATCGCCAATGTTACGTCCCTCGAGATACAGGTCACTAGTCTCTTGACGCCATATGCCACGAGTGCCTTTGCGCTGCATTCACTCGTCTCCACAATCTATGTAGTGCAGGGTGTCGTAGCCGGTACGTTCCTCGTTTCCGCCATGCTCAGCACAGCGACTAATCATCTCCAGCGGTCATCAAACCGCCAATGGGAAAGATTGCCGATGTCTTTGGACGTCTCGAATCGTTTACCATCACCATCTTCCTCTACACGATTGGTTATTGTATGCAAGCTGGATCCAATAATGTGCAAACTTTCGCCGGAGCGCAGATCTTCTGGGCCGCTGGTTTCAACGGTCTGGGAGTTTTGCAACAGATCTTCGTCGCCGATACTACGGATCTGCTCAATCGCGCTCTTTTCTCCACCTTGTTCGACGTTCCCTTTCTTTGGACTACATTTGCTGGAGCAGAAGTAGGAGAAGCGATCCTGAACAACACTACCTGGAGATGGGGATACGGTATCTGGGCTATCATCCTTCCGATTTGCTTCATCCCACTGGCTGTTAGTCTTTTTATGAACCAGCGACGTGCAAAGAGCTTGGGTTTTGATGTCCCCAGTCCATTCCACGGGCACAATACACTACAGGTCCTGAAGAACATCTGGATCGACATAGATGGATCTGGCCTGTTATTGTTCGCGGCAGCCATAGCACTCATCTTGTTGCCACTTACACTGGCTCCAGGCGCAAGTGGTGGGTGGAGTAATGGGAGTATGATCGCCATGCTAGTCATCGGCGGCGTACTGCTTCTTGCGTTCCCACTGTGGGAGACGAGCAAGAAGTTAGCACCAAAGGCATTCTTTCCACCAAACCTCTTCAAAGAAAGAACGATCATCGCCGGTGTTCTGATCGCATTTTTCTACTTCAGTAAGCACCATGCAAAAAGTATTATAGCTTAACGCTAACGAATGAAACAGTGGCATTTTACATGTCGGTCTTCCCATACTTCAGCTCTTACCTCCAGATTGTCCAGGGCCAATCTCCCTCCACAGCCGGATACATCACACGAACCTTCACCTTCGCTTCCACCGTCTCATCAATCGTAGTATCACTTCTCATCAAGTACACAGCACATTATAAGTACTACACAACCTTGGGCGCAGCCATCTACCTGATGGGCATGGGCCTTATGTTGGCATACCGGACCGAAGACGCATCTACCGGCACTCTCGTTGGCACCCAAATCGCCATCGGAATTGGCGGAGGCTTCCTGAACGTCCCTGTCCAACTCGCTGTCCAGGCCTCAGCCTCCCATCAACAGGTTGCAGCCGCAACAACAGTCTGGCTAACTATCCTCGAAGTCGGAGGCGCAGTAGGATCTGCCATCTCAGGTGCCATCTGGTCGACCTACATCCCCGCCAAACTGCAACAGTACCTTCCCGCGGAGAACGTGGCGGATTATTCGACTATCTACGGCAGTCTCTTAGTCGCAGCAGACTATGCTACCTACCCAGCTGGATCCCCCGTCCGTATTGCTATCAACCGGGCCTACCAAGAGACGATGCGGTACCTACTCATTGGAGCTCTTTGCTGCGCAGCACCTATCGTGCCGTTGACGTTTTGTCTCAAGAACTACAAGTTGGATCAGATGGACCAGAAGGTTGTCGGCAATGTTATTGGTAGTGCAGAGAAGAGGGAGAAAGCGAAGAGTTGGCAATTTTGGAAGCGATAGGCACTTACGTGCTGGCATGTCATTCTGACAACGCGAGTATGTATAAATGAATTGCGTTCGACTAGCATGCTTTGTGAGTCCTAGGGAGAGAACATCGAAGAAGCGGAAACGCAACCAAGACGAAGGCATTCCGTGCCGTGCATCACACACATTTGATTACTGATTCCGCTCTTCTCATTGCCTCGGCGAACGATTCCGAATGTCCATGCCAAACGGTTTGCGTTGCGACTTCCACATGATTCAAGCCAACTAACTTGTAAAACCGCGAAGGTCAGCCAGCACATTCCATAGTCAAAGTGTACGATCTTCACAGTCCACAGACTCAAAAACACAATCGAATTGTTCGGCACTGGAGAAAGCGAAGTTTGCCCCCAGCCGCCCGCCGGCAGCCTCGCCAGGCCATTCCGACCGCACAGACCACGCGACAGGGCTGTGTTTCACGCTCCGCACCCGGAACCCTGGACCCTGAACCCGCGGCGTTGCCAAGAGCTGTAAGTTACGTTACTGAGACTTTAATGCGACTTGAGACTAGAGACGTCGGTATTCTTTGTGGATTTCTTATGGCGACGAGAGTAAAACGCCCAAGGCGGGAAACGCGGATGCAATGTCAATGGGTGTTGGTGGAATGAGTCGTGCAGCGGCGGGATCCGAGCAACTGAGTTGGAAGTGAGACAACAGTGGACTCACCTCGCGAATTGTAGGAAAAAGGATGCTGTTGTGTTGGTGAGAAGGCATGTTGGAGCTGAGGTCTGATCAAATAGTACTTTATTGAAATCTTGCGACGTTTTATCTCATCTTCCATTGCCTTGTTCGTCCATCCATCCATCAATACCGTTATCCAAAACTCCTCATCTTCCGGTCCGCAGTACGCGTGATCCTGCTGATGCTTGCTGAAAATAAAACTCGCGCTCGGAACATACAAGATCGAGCTTGTGACACGACTGTCGTGTATAACTCCTCCTCCCATGGCGCGTGATGTCTTTTGAAGGAAGGATGTGCTAGCTGAAATGCAAAGTCGGGTATAGTGCTCAAACCTCGGTGATGGCGACCAAAGTCATCTTGGGTGCGTCCTCCTCCTCGACGACCTCATCGCGCTTGCGCTTCTCAGCAGGGGTGCCAGCGGCGGCAGAGTCCTTGGGAACGTTGACACCGGGGTTGACGAGAAGACCGACACCGGCGTTCTCAGTGCCCATCTCGACCTTGGGCATGTCCTTCTGGGCCTCCTTGGCGTAGCCGAGAGCAGCGTTGAAGCCAGCGAGGTCGCGCTTGATCCATTGCATGGCCTCCTCGACGGCTGCCATCTTGGGCTCGACGGGAGCACGCTTGCTGATGATGTCGTTGACGGCACGGCGAAGGTTGGATCGTTTAGCTGCTTCTCCTTCAGCTGGTTGTTCTTGAGCTTGCTCGCCTTCAGCTGCGGGCTGTTCGGCGGCCGGTTGTTCTTGCTGACCTTGTGCTGCGCCCTCCCCACCGGCGTTGGCTGCGGCTCCCGAAGCGAGCGTAGACATCAACTCTGAAGCTGATTCTGTGGATCCTAGCGAGATCTCTCCATCACCGACTACCAGGGCAGGCGAGTAGGCACCCAAGTTGATGTTAAGGGGGACGGCAGCGACAGTGGCGATGAGCGCGAAGAGAACGTGTTGAGGAAGCATGTTTTCGGTTGGGGTGGTTGGATCTTTCGATTAGGTGGTAAGGTAGTGGTGGATGATTGAGGTTCGATGAACGATTAGATGATCAAAAAATGTACTAAGTGATAGAAGTCGCCCGGCGACAGAAGTGAATACTAGTTGGTAGTGAAATGAAGTGAGTGACCGGACTGGAGAATAGAAGAAGTGGGTTTACTGTCTTCTTATACGCAAACCACTGAGTCTCCATAGTCTCCATAGTCGTGGTATCGCAGGCCCACCGTCGTTACCTGCCAAGATGAATTAACCATAACTGTCAAGGCATGAAACTTTCTTGAGGCTACGCCAAGTAGCGGCAAGCATACCATGGCAGAGCTTTGCCTTCGATGGCGATGCCAAGCTTCTCCCGCTGTTTGATGTTGGGTCAAAACTTTTGTGATGCGGAG